TTTCAACGACCAAAAGTCCTCTGTTCAAGGTATCATTAGGTGACTTTTTCATCAGTAATTTAAATCAAAAGATCACATTTTATTACCCATGTATTAGTCATTGTATTACACAATTGGTATTCCTTTGAAAGTGCATTGACAATGCGGTAACAGATTGACACGTCACTGGTTTTTATTTGTTTGGGTCGTCAGACCAAACAAATAATGGTAGCGAAATTTCAGAGTCTAATGTTGCTAATTGCAAATGCCGAAAGTAGTCCAATTTTTTGGAGCGGTTACTTCCCTTTTGTATGTACACTAAAGCCGAAAAATTCAGGGGAGATCACTGCGTAAAGATGGTCAAAGACAGGCGCATCAATTTTCAAGCAAAGTAATTCCCGAATGGTCAAAGATTTCTAATATTGTTTTATTGTATTTTCTGATCGAAAATAACTAAATACAAAGCGGACATTCAATCTCTGACACAGAAGTTTACTACAAACCTAACAACAAGTAGTTCTCAAAACAGCTAAAAACTAGCGATTTAAAAGAAAGAAATATTTTATTTTGTTACAAGTATCCAACAAATTACAACGCATTTAAAGTTAAACAATAGCGTTGGCTTATAGAATTGTCAATAAATGCACAATCACAAATTACGCGGATGAATATGATTTTATCAATGAAAATACTATTTTTAGCCATGTTGATTACCGAATACTACACAAACCGAGTAGTGGAATATATAGATTCTACATGCCGGACCGTTTGGGCGAGAGGATTTTTGCTAAAATATCTACTTCAATTATAAACAACAGGTTAAGCCTAAACAAAATACCTCGAAATTAATAAGGATTACAAACCCGAACTGCAATGGAAGTTCCAAATTTAGAATGATTTGATATTATTCAGACACTCTGTGTATAACTTTTCCGTGGTACAAGGGTAACGCGCTCGCCTCGTGAGTGAGAGGTCTCGAGTTCGTATCCAAGTCGAGAAAACTTTATTTTTTGTTAAATTCTTTTTTTTAAGTGTTTTTGTTAAGAAGTAGCCATGATATACAAAGATAAAGTGTGGCTGTCGTAAAAAAAGGACATAAATGATTTTTTGATGCAACTCTAGTTATGCAGAATTACGGATGTATCAAACTCTGGTGCCTTACAAGAGGAATTATAATACATAAAAATAAACTTATACAGGAAAATGCATACAGATATACAGTACGATTGCAAAGATCAGAAAATACCACAGAACTTGCAGCCGTTTGATTCTTTATAAATATACATGCTTATAGTAAGCTCCAGGATTATTTACATCTGTGTTAAACAACAGTTAAAGTCGTTACAAGCCCTAATTTAGAATAATATGGTTTTCTTCAGGCCGTTCACATATAAATTCACCGTGGCTGAAGGGTTTTCGGGCTCGCTTAGGAAGCGAGAGGTCTGGAGTTCAAATCCCAGTAAAGGTTACTCATTTTTTTAAATTGTTAAAGTCAAATAAACATTGGATTGAATATCAGTGTTGCAATTAGTCTAATAGCCAATTTACTACAATTAAAACGCTGGAAAGCATTGGTGGCACTAAACATATAATCTCACAACCTGCACCTTTCTTACATTCTGAGACCCAAACAAATTCAGCTCCTTCTGTGCTTTGATTATGGAAAGCCTTGACTGTCTTATAATTATAAACCTGAACATTGTTATGTCCGAATAGCAATATATTGAGTCAACCTTTCCTTATACAACGTGCACTCATCAATATATTATGTGGATCCATCTTTATATGTAGTCAACTGAACAATATATGATGTCAATGTGTCTTTATATGATGTCAATATATCATTATACGATGTGCATTTTAACCAGGTTTTCCGAAGGAAAAAACTGGTTATTAGATTGAGGTATGTCGGCGGGCGGGCGGGCGGACGGGCGGGCGGGCGTAAACAATTTCTTCTGTGCGCAACTCCTCCTACATTTCTCAACGGATTTTGACCAAACTTTCACAGAAGCTTTGTCATCAAGTGCCCTGGCGCATATTGTCGGGGTTTTGCGATTAGATAATATTTGACCTAATTATGGCCCTTTGTTTTTTTTCCTTATATAAAATATATAGTGAACAATTTCTTCTGTGCTCAACTCCTCCTACATTTCTCAACAGATTTTGACCAAACTTTCTCAGAAGCTTTGTCATCAAGTGCCCTGACACATATTGCCAGGGTTTTGCAATTGGTATATATTTGACCTAATTATGGCCCTTTGTTTTTTTTCCTTATATAGAATATATAGTGAACAATTTCTTCTGTGCGCAACTCCTCCTACATTTCTCAACGGATTTTGACCAAACTTACTTAGAAGCTTTGTTATCAAGTGCCATGCACATATTGTCGGGGTTTTGTGATTGGATAATATTTGACCGAATTATGGCCCTAAGATTGCATATTTTTTCCTTATACAGAATATATAGAGAACAATTTCTTCTGTGCTCACCTCCTCCTACATTTCTCACCGGATTTTGACCAAACTTTCTTAGAAGCTTTGTTTTCTAGTGCCTGGCACATATTGTCGGGGTTTTGTGATTGGATAATATTTGACCGAATTATGGCCCTTTGTATATTTTTTCCTTATACAGAATATATAGTGAACAATTTCTACAGTGCGCAACTTCTCCTACATTTCTCAATGGATTTTGACCAAACTTTCACAGAAGCTTTGTCATCAAGTGCCCTGGCGCTCACTAAATTCCCATGTTTCTTCCAAGACATCATTCAAGTATTTTTTTAAAATTGTGAACATACTTTTCTTGATATCGCACAAAACACCACACGCCAATATTGTTGACAAAAGAAAATGACAAGAGACGCAAAAATGCAAAAATTAAGCAAAAATAAAGTACTGTTTACCTTTCTAAAACATTTGGGAAAAAAAGGCGAATAGACACTATAAAATTTCTCAATCATTTTTGTTTGAGGAATATTAAAAAAGCCATAATTCCTCCTAAAAGTTCAATTAAAAACAAATGCCCCTTCATGACAAAGCTTCTGTGAAATATTTTGCTGAAAACCTGGTTGCATCGCATTGCGATGTTCCTTGTTGAATATATTATGTGGAACCATTATTATATAAGGTCAAAATAACAATATATGATGTCAGTCTGTCATTATATGATGTGAAGTTATGAATATATTATGTGGAATAATATTTATATAGAGTCAACATTATATGATGTCAATCTATCAATATACACTGTGCATTTTTCAGTATATTATGTATTATCGTCTTTATATAGAGTTAACTTAACAATATATGATGTACATGTGTCCTTATATGATGATGTACATGTGTCCTTATATGATGTAAATCTTTCATTATACGATGTGCATTAATGAATTTATTGTGTGGAACCATCTTTTTATAGAGTCAACTTAACATTATATGATGTGTATGTGTCCTTATATGATGTCCGTCTTTCATATATGACGTGCAATTACGAATATGTTATGTGGAACCATCTATATATAGAGTCAACTTAATATTATATGATGTAAATGTGTCCTTATATGATTTCAATCTTTCATTATACGATGTGCATTAATGAATATACTATGTGTAATCATCTTTATATACAGTCAACTTAACATTATATGATTAAAACGTCCTTATATGATGTCAATCTTTCATTATACGATGTGCATTAATGAATATATTACGTGGAACCATCTTTAAACATTATAAGATGTGTATGTGTCCTTATTATATATGATGTCAATCTTTCATTACATGATGTGCAATTACGAATATATTATGTGGAACCATTCTTACATAATGAAAGATTAACATAATATATTGATAAGTTGACTGTATATAATGATTCTACCACATCATATATATTCATAAATGCACATCGTATAATGATTGGTCGACATCATATAAAGACACATTGACATCATATATTGTTGATTTGACTTCATATAAGGATGCATCCACATCATATATTCATGAGTGCACATGGTATAAAGAAAGAGTGACACAACAACGTTCATTTTTGTAATCATAAGACAGTCAAGGCTTTCCATAGGTTTTTATTTGCCAGCTAGTTTATCATTCAACCGGGTCTTTTTAGTATCATGACATAAAAAACTTAAAACTATAAAAATGATTAATCGTAATTTAAGTAACTTTTATTTATACCAATCTCATCAATGTTTATTGATTTTATGAAATTATGAAAAGAAAAAAAAAATGTGAAATGACAAAAAGTGTGCGTGACGCGCATTTCCATGTGTTACAAGGAACCGGACAAAATGTGTGTTATTCCACCACGCATCTTAACTTCTCAAGAGTTTGAAAAATTGCATAATGTCAAAAAGAGAAACGTTAAAAGATACTGTAATAAAATGAAAATATATGACTGTGTTTAAAACACCATTTAAAATATATTCTAAAACCAGTTGTAGTAAACCGATTACAAATTAATTCTTGCAAGTAAATTTAAAAAAATCATAACATGGTGTTGGTAAGGAATCGAACCAGAGACATTCAGATCGTTAGTCCGACATCTATACCAATACACCACACCTCACTGACGAGTGAAGTTAGCAAATGTATCGATATATTCGATAGATACTGGTCAGTGTTTATTCAAATGACCTTTACGAAAGTTAATGAGGTGTCAGGTCAATATTGTTGGACAATACCTATTGTTCACATTGTTATTAATCTCTGTTCTGTAAACAAAGGCTCAAGTTATCATCCTTTTAGTATGAATCGAGGGCGTATCCGTGTTATTATCATTGTGTAAATAATGAAGTCCGAATAAACCAAATTTAAAGCACGAAAACTGACCAGTTTTATTTTTATAGGATTAGGACTACACATTTTAAACATTCTTGTCCGTAGGATTAATAGATACAGTATAGTGTTTTAAAGATCAAAGGTGAGAAGATAATTTAAAAGATATATTCTGAATTCAGGCGACTATAAAGCATTTTATATATCATATAAAACCATATAACTTTTAAAGATATATTCGGCTTTAATTCCATGTTTGCTAACAAAGACAGACACTTGTATGATAAAACACTTTAAAATAATATAACATTTGACATTAAAATAACCAGGAAATTCATAATATTGGAAGAGAAAAAGATATATGAAAATAACTAAAATCTTAAAAAACCGCCGACTTTTTAAGCGACGAGTGAACGCGCAAATTACCGATCATATACGGAAACGATCGAAATAGTCTCGGAAACATTCGGAAGTTATGAATATTAATGAGGCTAGAATTCAAAACAATGGCGGACGCGAAGGATGCGACGGAAGTAAAACAGAAATTAAAAAGGAAAAGAGTCTCTAAAGTGACAGATTCGGCAAAAAAGCGTAGGAAAATCGAATGGTCCAAGGCAAGAGTGCATGTTGGGAGCCAAATACATCGGTGGCGACAGTTGAAAAATGCATGTGGGATTAAAACAGATGCCAAATTTGCCAAACATTTGCTCGACAGGTTCGTTTGTTTAAACTTTTACCAACGTGTCTCTCAGATTCATGTTACTCGTGTGTAGATCAGTGTAATTATTATAACATTAAGTATTTATTGATAAAAAATTAAATGTTCAAATGGTGATTCGTCCCCCCTATGATTCGGCCTAAGACACATTTGTTTGTAACACATTTTTTATGTTCTATATGGGCTATATACTTTAATATCTTAATATACATTATGTCATATATAGGTCGATTATGTAAAATAATTTATTATGTGGCGCCTGTGCACTAAGCAGTTTTCGTAAGCGTTGACATTGGTTTGTGAAGACTTCTGTCTCATTCCGAAAATTATTGATTATTCAGTTTGATTATCTAAAGGGTTAAAAAAACAAAAAAATATAGCAGCGTATTAATCAAAGGAACTTTTGGCATTTTTGTCAATTAGGCCTGTGGTCAACTTGTCTGCTATTTTGTTTTTACTTCAAAAAGTAAAACCGCCTCCGTAGTCGAGGGGTTAGAGTCGATGACTTCTAATCCAGTTACCTCTCTGGCGTGGGTTCGATCCCCGGGCGATGCTTTGGTAGTTTAGCGCGGAACAAGGTAGTCTAGTACTGGTGTAACTCTCCAGGAATGATGGTTAGGAAACTACCCGCCTATATGACTGAAATACTGTTGAAAAAGGCATTAAATGAAACAAACAAACAAACAAACAAAATCAAATAGTAAATTTATATATGGCCTATCTATTATTCTAAGATCATAACTTGGAGTTAACGTACCATGGAGGGAACGTACCACTGCATAAATATACCACAAATATCGAAATAGTTAAAAATTGAGGAAGATACATATGTTTAGATATTTAGCAAGTTGATAAAGTTCTATAACATTTTCACAAATTTTAATATTTTAGGGTAACTTGCCACCCAATAATTATCATGAAATAAATTGTAACAAAATTTACAACCTTTTGCAGAATAAGAATAAATATATATATAGCATGAGAGTCATGTGTTTCTCATTGGCAATTATTATATTATATGTTTCAGTAAATAAATGTACATGTCTACTGTCATGCATCAAATATATTAAGCCAATTTTTTATGAGTAGATCTACCCATGTATATTTTGATAAAAGAAAATATGCATAAATGAAAATGTTTTGTAAAACAATTTTAGATATACAACAGCACAAGTACCTCCAGCAACAACCACTGGTAGCAGTCCACATGTAGTGATGCCCTTTCCAGGAACATCAGGACAAATGACATCCACACCAGCTAGTACCACCCAGCATTTTCCAGGTCCAACAGTTTCAGAAATATCATCTGAATCTGGGTTGACTGATGTGTAAGTCATTAAATTGCTACAACTTCAATAAAACACACATTTGCTCTGTCTTAGTACAATATTTTCAAATTTTATCATCATTTTTGTAACATTTGAAGCCACTAACATTTACACTTAATCTGAAGTAGGAACTGAATTAGAATTGTATGAACAATTTTAATTGTTTTTGTAGGGATAAACCAGAGTTATCAGGATTGGAAGAACTTCAAGAAGAGAAAAACAGTAATGGGTAAGATACATTTTTACTTTTTTATTTTGTATCAGTTTCATTTCCTATGCTTGTAAAGTTATCTCTATTTTCCTAGATTTTCCATTCTTAATTTTAGAAATCTTTCAAAAAGATATGTCGAAAGTCATGTCTCAGTCAGTCAGTGTTTTTGTTTTTTTTTGTTTTTTCCACAATATTTCATGTAAATAATTTTGATTTGCATTCTGTAATGACTCTTTATATGATCATAGTGTTAAACATGCTTTTACATTTTACTTATTTTAGTGAAGGAGAAAGTGAACTTCATAAGAAGCCAGCTATGTTAACAAAAACTGGAAGACCTGTTGTTCAAACAGTTCAGCCACAGTCCTTTATTGATCCCTTCAGGTATCTTTGAATAATTAAGTTAATAAATTTCATATATGAGTTAATTTGTGTTTAAGTCACCCAGACACAGTAAATCTTTACTTGTGTAGAAATATACGTGCATGATTTCAGGCATGAATTGAGCAACTGATATGTATAACTTTTCACATTTATGAATGAATCTTAAGTCTCAGATGGGATTCAAACCAGAAGTGACAAGGTGCTTATAAAACATATTAGCTTACATAACTGCTGTGTTTTAATCCATTTTATTTACTGTACTATGTATTAATCTGTATAATTTTTGAATATTTGAATACAAAAATGAATTATGAGCATAATTTATGACCAGATTTGCTATTTCAGTGTCACACTTTGCTTGAAAAGAAATTATACATATTATGTTATTGCAAATTTCACGATGTGTGAATGCTGGCGTTGCGAGATCTACCGCGGTTTATTTGCGACTACAATGATTTCACATGAGTAGGGTTTCTTAATCAGACAAAAATCATAATCGATCATCGGAAATAATAAGACAACCTTTTTCGATCAATCATCGATTATATAATCCAAGCATTTACAATAACAAAGTAAAAATGTACGCTTAATTTGTGCTTAAAAAAGGAGATTTATTGATAAGATTTTTTATTTATACTCTATATCTTGTGTAATTACCACTTTATCAACTGAATTAACTGAAATGTTATAGAGCGGGGTCGGGTATTACCGAACGGGCGTTTAATTCCGAACAAAATATTATATTTCATCTGAAGCGATAATCCTACATCACGTCATTGAGTTTACGTCATATAATATGACATCATTTCCTTTCCGGATATTTCCCGATTGGATTTTTCGTGTTGGTGACGTGGTTTTGTCAAAAAGTCTAAGACGCTGTCAAACTATCTAAAAGGTACGACAATTGTCGAATTTTGTAAGATTTTAGGCAAATCGGTTAAGACTGCAAAAACTTTATTTTTTTTCCAAATCATAATTTTCTTTGTTTTAAAAGATGATAAATTTGTTTCTTTACAAGGTCACAAAGGTGCTTTCATATAAACATGTGATTTAGGCGCTTGATGAGGTAGTCGGAATTAGCCTCTGATTTTTTAACAATTCGCATATTTCCGAACATTTTTTGACTGACTTTGTTTTCAAATATTTCTGATCTTCAATACTATATAGTAGATCTATATGTTAATAAAATTAAACTAACAAATATCACCTTAAATCAGTTTCACGGTATTTTTATAGGATGAGCCGAATGATTGGAATTCAAAAGAGACGAAAGTATGACCCAGAAACATTGGGAGAGGCTGCTAACCTTGTAAAAAACAAGGTGTTATCACTGAATAAAGCTTCTGTTGTTTATGGCATCCCGAAAAGCACACTTCATGATAAAGTATGACCATTATAACCAGCCAGAATACAAACAAACATACATATACATATAAAAACATCTAATTATTATATATCAAAAGTTAAAACAAATCGAGATAAACAATATATGCCGACGAATCTGGGTTTAGTCTGTGTACAACTACTGGTAAAGTTATTGGGTACAAGGGCGCACCTGTGGTGTACCACTATGGCAACAGCAGTAAACAACAGCTAACTGTAATGGCTTGTGCCAGTGCAAATGGCCATTTTTGCCCGCCGATGATTATATATCCTGGCCAGCGCTTTAGATATGAACCCTTAGAAGGTGTTCAGGAGGCCCATATGGGTCGCAGTGAGTCTGGATGGATGGATTCAGAACTCTTTTGTCACTGGTTACTGACCTGTTTCATCCCAGCTATTGATTCAAGGTCTGTCAAGCGGCCTGTTCTGCTATTCATAGATGGACACTCAACGCATATCTCCCTCGAAGCTTCCAACATTTGCATAGCTAATGGCATTGAACTGTATTGCTTGCTTGAACACAGCTCTCATATAATGCAGCCTTTAGACCTAAGGCTTTTTGCTACACTCAAACAGCATTGGAAAGAAGCTGTTAGGTCCTTTCAAGTTGAAAATGCTGGCTCTTTTGTCACAAAACGCAACTTTGCTGGTGTCTTTAAGTCTGCTTGGGAAAAAAGCACTTCAATTGAAATAGCCATGAAAGGATTTATGGAGGCAGGCCTGTTTCCTATAAACCCAGATTGTGTTACAAAGTCTATAAAATTAGAGCCAAGCAAGGTATTTCAATCTTCCACTGAAATACCAAAGTTACAACAGGTCATAGCGAGTGACAAACAACAGCAGAAGTCTGATCAAGCATCTTCTTTCAATGTTACTGATAGCACAGATAAATCACAAATAAAGGAATCTGTTGATACACAACAACCTTCACTGCCTGACAAACAGGTAGAGGTGTTAGTTGTTAACAATCATTCTGTTTCTGAGACTGCTCAGTCACAAACATCTTGCACAGAGGCTACAAGTACTCCATGAACAAGCCACATGACAAACCCACTTTCAGATAATGTTTCAGTAGTTCCGCCAGAATCTACGACTACTGCATCTGAACCAATAATTCTGAACACTAATCAAAACTTGAGAGAAACATCTCCAACCAAGACTCAAATTGATACGTCAAAGTGTGAACAGTCACCATTTTCAAAATTTCTGAAGTACCCGTCCGTGTCAGTTTCTGTAAACAAAAAGAAAAAACATACTCCAATTCAAAAAAGCAATTACTGGGGTAGCCTATAGGAAGATGCTTAAAGAAAAACAAGAGAAGAAAGAGCTAGAAGAAAGAGAAAAGCAAAAGAGAAAAGAAGAGCGTTTGAGAAAGAAAATCCAACGGGAAGAACAAATGAAGCTTAAGAAGAAAATACGATTTGAGCGGCAACGAGCTTTGATGCAGAAGCGTAAACAAAAAGCACACGCGTCTCTAAAAAATCAGCTAGAGTCTGACAGCGATGACGCTGTTGAAATCAAGTCAGGTATTTGTTATACCTGCGAATCTCAATACACTGAGGAGTTTATTGAATGTGAAAAATGCCAACGTCGATTCCATATTGTCTGTGTTCAGAATGAAATGATCGACGGTGTTCCATTTGAATGCAAATTTTGCTGAAAAAAATATTGATATTGAAATGTAATGAAATATAATCTAATTAAAAAGACTTTCTGCTAAACAGTTTCATCTTAAATGCTTTATTAAAAAGTAAAAAATAATTTGTGAACATTACTACACTTTTAAGTCAATCAAACACGAGATATTTTTAAAAAATGAAGAATGTTCGGAAATACACTACATAAGTGTTCGGTAGACCCGCCCTGTTCGGAAATGGCCGATATACCCCGTGTACTTTGAGTTAGCTTTATTGCTACAAATACAGTCTTAACTGGTCGGAAATAGACATACCTTAACGCGTAAAATCTATTGTGTGTGACAGTGAAGCGTAGTCTTTAATATACGAGGGTATCACCGAACAGTTATATTTTTTCCTTAAGTGTTCGGAAATACCCGACCCCGCTCTAAACTATTTTAAAGATATATACAATGCTCATCCTTGAGTAAAATATTTTAATCAAAATCTATAAAATTGTTATGTCTAATTCAAATAAAAGAATGAATAAAGTATGTATGGGAAGCTGTGTTCTCTATATATAAACGGTCGATATTTACATTTAAATTTCGACGTTACGTCATCATGTGACGTCTTTGAAGACAGTGATTACAATTCTGCCAAGGGAGGTAATCACTGTGAGGAGTTTGAGCGGAGGCGCTTTTTAGCGTGTTTTCGCTTCGCGCCCCGCCGTTTTATTTCTTAAATCTCGACCCGCGCCCCCGCGGGGCGAAGTTTTATTTATTTAACTTCGCCCGCGCCCTCGCTCCTGGTGACCCAGCCGTTTTAACTTGTTAATTCTCGACTTTTTGCTTGGCGGGGTCGCGGGGCGAAAACACGAATGGCACAAATCAGCCACCATAGACAGGGGTTTAAGAGATTGTGTAGCAATTATCAATATGGGTCATATGACACGAGTTCAATAAAATTTGACAGCTTATAAAGAACTTTAAACTTTATCTTACTTTAAAACAATAGGTGATAAATTATTAAAATGTTTACTTAAAATTATTATATCACAGCAAGGATAAGTTACGTACAAGATACGATATGAGTCATCGTTTGAACAAGTCAAATCCAATATCAGTCAAATTGATAATGTTAGTGGATGCTCTTTACATTAAAGAATTATCGAAAGTCCACTGTATAATTATCTGAATTATTTAAAGTCTGTCCATGGCCCTCAGGACAAAAACAAAGTAAACTTGTATAAGATTTTTACCCTCTCTCAAACGCCTTAATTAAAAGTAAAACGCAAAACTTTTTAGTCATAAAATTTCCTGACAATAATTGTTAAAGTTATTGTTGTTTAAAAGACCTTATTTTTCTATAATAAATTGTAAAGGATAATTCTTTGTTAATGATTAGAAATTTTATAAAGTCAAATGTAAAACAAGTAAAAGGGATCCTTAAGACAGAAGTTATCCTACAAATGTACTTTGAAAAATTATCGATATCAATATGCTATAATTTAATTTCAATGTTTACAAAATGAGTATTATCTTAGCTACAAGAAATAATTTGATGTCATTGTTCTGCAAGTATCGCTAAAATTTCTTTTTGTATTGAAGTAACACAATTTTGCATGATAACCAGTTATACTTCGGCCGAGTATCTTTTACAAAAATACTTCTTGTTTTATTTCAGAATGTTAAGCAAAACTAAATATGATTATAACATATCTTCAAAATTATCTCAAGTTATGGACGATATTGGTGTAAACAAGAAATTGGTGATGAAAAGAAGACAGACATTTATGCTGAATGAGACTATTACAACATTAATAGACAGGTTAATTGGAGAGGATGTCACCACATATGTTCTAGGTAGTCAAAGTGAAGGGTCTGTTACAAAAGGACTTAAATCTGATTATGATATACTAGCTTGCGATAATGCGTATAATGTGATACAGGATATTCATGACTTTCAAAATGGCAAGCACAACTATCTTATGGTCAAAGATAATAACACAACTAAAGGATACTGTTATCTCCAGCTAATCGAATCCAGTCAAGCAAAGACTGGTGAAGGTAATGTTTTCAGTTATCCAGAGAATTTGGTTTTGGAAAATACAAAAAATCACTGTCTTGTTAGTTTGAAATATTTTAACGGAGCAGATATACATGGACCCGCAATAAGCACACAAAGAGAAAATAGATTTGATTATATGGATATTGTAATTGCTTATCCTTGTTTTTCATGGCCACGTTCAGCATGTGATTGGCTACAGCGACAAGGATTGGGTAGATGGCCAACACAAGAAATGAAAAAGGATTGTGTAAGTAAGGGATTTTTCTTAGCTCCGGTTGGAAGTAAAATCAGCAAAAATCCGGAAATTGAATGGAGAATATCAACTTCAATTGCAGAAAGGTGTTTAATGTTTAGTTTGAACATAACTCAATTACGCTGTTACGTTTTAATGAAAATGATTGCAAAATCATATTTAACTTTTGACGATGACACTAAAATTTCAAGTTTTATGTGCAAAACAACATTGTTTCATTGCATAGAAAGATCAGAGCCCGGAATGTGGAGAGAAGATAATTTATACATATGTGTGTTTGTCTGTCTGCTACAATTACGGTTCTTTATATTAAGTCAGAAATGCCCACATTTCATTATTACTGAAAATAATTTGATGGCAGGTCAGTTCACGGGCGAGGAACAGCTTGACCTGATTGGCACACTTAATATTCTAGTAAACACGTATGGACTTGGATTATTCGGTATTCAAATTGACAATCTAGGTAAAAGATTAAAGATAAAACTGAAAATGATTGGTATGATGATCGATTCAAGTGTTCAGTCTCAAAAAGAAATCAGTGAGTATATATGCTTCAATCTAAATATTTGGTTCTTTGTTAATGTTATACAAAAGTATAAACATCTGTCAATGGAAAACAGAGAAACGGTAACAACATATATCCAAAAACTGAACAAGGTTAGTGAAAAGGGTAGCGAATTAGAAAAGAAAGCATGCACGTTTCTTTTACCTGAGATTTACGCAACATTAGGATCTGTGTTGGCCTCGTCCAACATTGGACAATTTATCCCTGTTTCACATGAGGCTTTAAGTTATTTTGAACAATATCCATACAATAGTGTTTCTACAACACTTAAACTAGCCTCAGTATATTATTGCTCAGAAAATTTGGAAGAATGTGGAGACATTCTAAGGCATATTGAAAGTGATGTGGAATATAAGAAAACAACTCTTATATACCCCTTCTGTCAATGCTATCCACATCCACATTTATCAACAAGAAAATTCGTAGCATTATGTTATAAAGATGTTACTGAAATCCAGCCAAATATAGGGTATTGTGTACGTTTCCATAAAAGTGAATTTAACTGTATTCCCCATGAACTACAATATGAACTGTTCAGATCTAGTAAAAATGATATGCAGCACAGAGACGAGCTAGATGAAATGTGGATGGACTTATCGGTGGTTGATTATCTCCCTTTCTTGTATTTCCTAAAATACAAAGTATATAGACATCAAAAGAGAACAAAAGAAAAAAGACTAGCTTTGGCCAAACTTACATATACTTGCACAGAAAACGCAATTCTTTATCACAAAGAAACAGCTCTAAATTTACTTGGACAATGTTATGAAGATCAATTTGATCATCAAGAAGCTTTAAAATGTTACCTGTCTTCACTTCTTGTAAGAAAAAGGAACAATGTTGCAGTATGGCATATATGCAAACTACTCGCCAGAATAATGCTAACGAAATACATTTGCTGATGCACGAGTTATAGTAACATGTATATTCTTTCTCTAGATTTCTACAGTATTTAGCTCACTTAAATATGTGACAATCATTAAACAGGTTTTACGAAGGAAAAAACTGGTTATTAGATTGAGGTATGTCGGTGGGAGGACGGGCGTAAACATTTTTTTCTGTGCGCAACTCCTCCTACATTTCTTAACGGATTTTGACCAAACTTTCACAGAAGCTTTGTCAAGTGCCCTGGTGCAGATTGTCAGGGTTTTGTGATTGGATAATATTTGACCTAATTATGGCCCTTTGTTGTTTTTCATTATATAGAATATATAGTGAACAATTTCTTTTGTGCGCAACTCCTCCTAAATTTCTCAAAAAAGGATTTTGTTTAAACTTTCACAGAAGCTTTGTCATCAAGTGTCCTGATGCATATTGTTGGTGTTTTGTGATTGGATAACTTTTGACCTAATTATGGCCCTTTGTTGTTTTTTTCCTTATATAGAGTATATAGTGAACAATTTGTTCTGTTGTGCAACTCCTTCTACATTTCTCAAGGGATTTTGTTCAAACTTTCACAGATTAGCTTTGTCTTCAAGTGCTCTGATGCATATTGTCGGGGTGTTGTGATTGGATAAGTTTTTACATTATTATTGCCCTTTGTTTTTTCCATAAAATTTAATTATTAGTGTAATATATCCTTTTAATCACAACAAACTTAATTTAGTTATTAAACAGAAACTATCTAGGTTGCTGCATGCCTGCCAGCTCATTCTGCCTGCTTTTGGGTCCTGTAGAGTCAAGGTCAAGGTCATTGTTGCTAAAAATAGAAAATCTGTTTCTAGTCAGGTCACTGTTACTAAAAATAGGAAAAAGGTTTCCAGTCAATAACTAGTTTGGAATAAGATATTTTTATGAAATATGGTGTAAAGCAAGTTTTTATAAAGACCTCACTTGGGATGGCTTTTTGACCCCCTAGGGTCAAGGTTACAGTTGCTAAAAATAGAAAATTCATTATTCATGATTTATATAGCACATAGTTACATTGTTTGTTGCTTGTATTTCAACTACAACATATGTATCTACAATGATGATAATTGAAAACCTGGTTTTGTGGCATTGCCATGTTTCTTGTTTCATATTATAATTATATGATTAAGCTAGACATACCTGTAAGGGCTCACACTAAGGGCTCACACAGAGAGAAGACGCAGCTATCAGCAGCCAGTGGTCATATTTTAGAGTAAGTAATGTCGAATAATATCGCAAAAATATCAGTTTAAACGGGGAGGTAGCGGGTTGGGTGTGTGAGCCCTTAGTGAGTTTTATGTGGATGAAATCATGATTAACCTTCACCTTACAGGTAAGTCTAGCTTAATCATATAATTTCATCCTACATATAAACTCACTAATGGGCCCCACAGAGATTTTAGAGTCCTTTTTGCGATATTTTGGAAAGGACATTACGTGCCGTCCTACGCCATGTAGTAAATATTTATCTTTCATGTTATTATGAAGAACAACGATTTAATTTAAAGACATAAAGGTCTTTTTGTATTTTGCAATTCGGTAAAAACACATGTTTTTCATATTTTTACAGAATGTAAATGCCATGCACAACTAAAGTAATTAAATACAGCTATAATTATTATTATTACTACAGTTTTGTTGTTGTTGTTTTTTTTGGTCCCATTATTATACTCTCTAATTAGCAATATCTATGATAGCCTGCATAGATTTTCCATTGGTATCTGATATTGGTTTATTATAATATTTAGCGAATGTCTTTGCATTGCTCCATCCCGCCGAATCAATTATCGTCTGTAACGGGACTCCACGCATGTGTGCGATTGAAGACGCAGCAGCGCGCGTGCTATGTGGTTTGAATGAGTTATGCACCCCAGCTCTGTGCATAATTAGCTTAATCCAGCGACAAATTGTTTGTTTAGAAACGGCCCCATGAGGCTTGACCGTTGATATCAGTAATTTATTGGTATTTCTGAGGTATTTCGTTCCCTGTAAATACTCACTAATGACGCTGACAATACACAAGCGTTTATCTGATTTAAAACTGTCAAACAAAAAGGGTGTCTGATGCCGACCAGGTTTCGATGTTTTTTAATAAATGTGGAGTGTTTATTATCAATTTTTCGTTTGAAATATTAATGTCTTCCAAACAAATGAGATGAGTGTTTGACACTGCTGAGCTGACAACAATAAAAACAACATGCTTAATTTTCCAGCCAAAAATAATAAAGTATCATTTTGTGTTTTTGATAAAAAATCTAAAACTGTTCGCACGTCCCATATCTCTTAATTACTCGGAAGTGCCGGCTTTGTGTTAAATACACCTTTCATGAACCGTGATATCTGGTTATTATTGCTGAGATCTACGTTTGCAGTTATCTTAACAAACCCACAAATTGCTGATCTGGCAATACCAATCGCACTGTAGGTTATCCCTTTTGAATATAGGTGAGACAAAAATGCTATCACTGTTGCTACAAGGGGTTTAAAGGGATCATGTTTCCCTTCACAGAAATGAAATCATTGTTTAAGATATGTTTCATACTGTTTCCTGGTTGTTCTCCGCCACGAATTAATGATAATCTGCTAAGCTTCATTTGAAATATCTCTATCTTCAAGCGCTTTCCTGATATGGGGAAAAACACCAGCCTCATCTTTTTAATGGGTGTTTCTTTCCCGGTCGATGGCACAACGTAAGGATGTCCTGAGGGTGTTGAAGTTAAAGGCATGGTGCAACAATAAGTTGTATTAAAGTCGGCCACCAAGTCTGTGCAGGCAATATTGGTGCTACTAAACACAGTAGTTCTGTTTGATCTATTTCTACTTTTTGCAGGACCCTGCCTATTACACTGAAAGGTGGAAAACAATAATAACAATTATCATGCCATGACAGTGAAAAAGCGTCTATAGCAAAAGCATTTGGGTCAGGTTGTCTTGAAACACACGTCGGAAACTTTTTATTTAAACGAGATGCAAAAAAATCTAAATTTAAGGACGGGAAAGACCGACAAATTGCTGCGAACATCTCGGTTGATATACTCCATTCTAGATCTTCATTTCCAGTACGACTCAGTTTGTCTGCCGTGCGGTTCAATGACCCCGATACATGATGTGCTGACAACAAAATGTTTCTTTGAATACACCAATGCCAGATATCGCGCGCAGTTTTATTCAATGAATCTATTGTTCCCATGATACACTCGTAGTGTTATCCATATAAATTTTCATATAGATATTTCTATTGTGTTTAAAAAGCGACCATAGCCCAACTTGACACGCTTTTAATTCTAACACATTGATATGTTGATTTTGTTCTTCCGCCGACCAAAATCCATTTGTTCGTCTATTTTCTGTTTTATCATACGCGCCCCACATAATTATGTCCCGAAGAATCAGTAAACATAATGTTATTCGGGTCAGGCGATGTAATACTTTTGAAACATGAATGTATATGAGTGATCCACCATCGCAAATTTTCCAAAATATCTGGCGTGATTGTAAAAAAACTATTAAAATTATCCTTATGGTTTTTCAGTTCCCTTTCCTTATGTCGTTCTAAAGGTTTTATGTACAACGGAGCATGCATAACCCCCGGTGATGCTGCAAGCAGTTTGCCAATAATCTTTGAAAATTTTTGAATTGTTATTCGCCGGCATGTTATAATGTTATTGCAAAGCTCTGTGATATCACCACCTTTTTCCTTTGTTAATCTTATAGTCATTGTTTTAGAGCACAGCATACAATATTTTTCGACGGAACCAGGACATTTTTACTCATTGAAATTGTAAATCCTAACTTGTCTAATAAATCAATTGTTTCGCTGATATTTCGAGCACAGGCGGAGTATGACTGACCTTGCAAACAACCGTCGTCGATATAAATTGAACTTAAATGACCCCGCGCTCTTAAATGAAAACTGGCTTCAACAGTTTAGTGAATATCATAGGGCTTTCTGCAAATCCCATCACAAGCGCAGTAAATTGATATTTTACACCTTCGAAAAAGAAACGAAAATACCGTTTGTCCCGTTCGTATATAGGTATAGTGTAAGAGCATCAGAAATGTCGACCTTGCCGAAATAACAATTTTTCCTCATTGCTGTGGTCACTGATCCCAAAATTTCCATTTTAAAATGTATTTTGCTGATGTAGTTGCTATTGAAGGATTTTAAATTCAAAATAATTCTAATCCGTCCGTCTGATTTTGGTCTTGTGAATATATTCGAAATGTATTCTCCGTCCAAGTTTTCGTCTGCAAGTTCTATTATTCCTTGATTTAAAAAACGTGTAATTTCAAACTGTATTGCTTGTTTTTCTGTTTCTTTGAAATTAAATGGTTTGGGAATTTTATACTGAAAAGGAGTTGCTGACAGCTGTACCCGATAACCGTATACAGTTTCTAGTATCCATTTATCTTTGGTTATTTTCTCCACTCATGCAACGCTATTCTGGTCTTCCCCGCCCGAAAATTGTGTGAAGTACTAATAATGGTAGAGGAATATTTCATATTATGATTACTTACTTCGGATATAAATTTTTCTGTGCTCTTGATTGGAAAGTATTCTTTTTCTGCTGTTTTGTTCTGTAATTGTGATTTTGACTCCGTCGCTGTAAATTGAAATTCATGTTGCCCTGTGAATTGAGCGCATGTTTCCGTTTGTATTGAGGTACCAGGATCGCCATGCCCTGGCGTTTTCCTTAAAAAAGAACGCCTGGAAGTACCTATTGTCCCTTAACTTTTTAAGTTCTTCATCTACTTTATCGCGACACAGATGAGTGGCAGATTGGTTTGCTGAACAAATTGGCCTATAAAGCGGGAGAAGTTCTTTCTTTATCCTGTCGCGTCTCATCTGAGAAGTTGTGACAACAGTTTGAAAGTATCCCCAATCAACTCTTTCATTTTTGGTCGTCAATCTGTCTTTAACTCATCCATATGCATAAAAGTAAGAATTTAATATACAAAACTAAATAAATTTTGACTGAAGACAAGTCCACCTTTCTCGGCTTATGCATTATCTTTCTTGGTTGCCATTCTAAAATCATTTGCTGTATACTTGTTCATATATTGTGTGATTAAGATAACTTTTGACGATGACACTAAAATTTCAAGTTTTATGTGCAAAACAACATTGTTTCATTGCATAGAAAGATCAGAGCCCGGAATGTGGAGAGAAGATAATTTATACATATGTGTGTTTGTCTGTCTGCTACAACTACGGTTCTTTATATTAAGTCAGAAATGCCCACATTTCATTATTACTGAAAATAATTTGATGGCAGGTCAGTTCACGGGCGAGGAACAGCTTGACCTGATTAGCACACTTAATATTCTAGTAAACACATATGGACTTGGATTATTCGGTATTCAAATTGACAATCTAGGTAAAAGATTAAAGATAAAACTGAAAATGATTGGTATGATGATCGATTCAAGTGTTCAGTCTCAAAAAGAAATCAGTGAGTATATATGCTTCAACCTAAATATTTGGTTCTTTGTTAATGTTATACAAAAGTATAAACATCTGTCAATGGAAAACAGAGAAACGGTAACAACATATATCCAAAAACTGAACAAAGTTAGTGAAAAGGGTAGCGAATTAGAAAAGAAAGCATGCACGTTTCTTTTACCTGAGATTTACGCAACATTAGGATTTGTGTTGGCCTCGTCCAACATTGGACAATCTATCCCTGTTTCACATGAGTATTTAAGTTATTTTATACAATATCCATACAATAGTGTTTCTACAACACTTAAACTAACCTCTATATATTATTGCTCAGAAAATTTGGAAGAATGTGGAGACATTCTAAGGCATATTGAAAGTGGTGTGGAATTTAAGAGAACAGCTCTTATAAACCCATTCTGTCTATGCTATCCACATCCACATGTATTTACAAGAGAACTCGTGGCATTAGGTTATAAAGATGTTACTGAAATCCAGCCATTTATAGGGTATTGTGTACGTTTCCATAAAAGTGAATTTAACTGTATTCCCCATGAACTACAATATGAAATGTTCAGATCTAGTAAAGATGATATGCAGCACAGAGAAGAGCTAGATGAAATGTGGATGGACTTATCTGTGGTTGATTCTCTCCCTTTCTTGTATTTCCTAAAATACAAAGTATATAAACATCAAAAGAGTACAAAAGAAAAAAGACTAGCTTTGGCCAAACTTACATATACTTGCACAGGAAACGCAATTCTATGTCATAAAGAAACGGCTCTTAATTTACTTGGACTATGTTACGAAGATCAACTTTGGCATCAAGAAGCTTTAAAATGTTACTTGTCTTCACTTCTAGTAAGAAAAAGGAACAATGCTGCAAAATGGCATATATGCAAACTACTCGCCAGAATATTATAATGCAAACGAAATACATTTGCTGATATAAGACAAACTGTTCACGAGTTATAGTAACATGTATATTCTTTCTCTAGATTTCTACAGTATTTAGCTCACTTACGAATGTGACAATCATTAAACAGGTTTTCCGAAGGAAACAACTGGTTATTAGATTGAGGTATGTCGGCGGGCGGACGGGCGTAAACATTTTTTTCTGTGCGCAACGGATTTTGACCAAACTTTCACAGAAGCTTTGTCATCAAGTGCCCTGGTGCAGATTGTCAGGGTTTTGTGATTGGATAATATTTGACCTAATTATGACCCTTTGTTTTTTTTCCTTATATAGAATATATAGTGAACAATTTCTTTTGTGCGCAACTCTTCCTAAATTTCTCAAAGGATTGTGTTTAAACTTTCACAGAAGCTGTCATCAAGTGTCCTGATGCATATTGTTGGGGTTTTGTGATTGGATAATTTTTGTCCTAATTATGGCCCTTTGTTTTTTTTCCTTATATAGAGTATATAGTGAACAATTTGTTCTGTTGCGCAACTCCTTCTCAAGGGATTTTGTTCAGACTTTCACAGATTAGCTTTGTCTTCAAGTACTCTGATGCATATTGTCGGGGTTTTTTTGATTGGATAAGTTTTTACCTTATTATGGCCCTTTGTTTTTTCCATAAAATTTAATTATTAGTGTAATATATCCTTTTAATCACAACAAACTTAATTTAGTTATAAAACAGAAACTATCTAGGTGCCTGCCAGCTCATTCTGCCTGCTTTTGGGTCCTGTAGAGTCATGGTCAAGGTTATTGTTGCTAAAAATAGAAAATCTGTTTCTAGTCAGGTCACTGTTACTAAAAATAGGAAAAAGGTTTCCAGTCAATAACTAGTTTTGAATAAGATATTTTTATGAAATTTGGTGTAAAGCAAATTTTTATAAATACCTCACTTGGGAAGGCTTTTTGGCCCCCTAGGGTCAAGGTTACAGTTGCTAAAAAAAGAAAATTCATTATTCATGATTTATATAGCACATAGTTACATTGTTTGTTGCTTGTATTTCAACTACAGCATATGTATCTACAATGGTGATAATTGAAAACATGGTTTCGTGGCATTGCCATGTTTGTGTTTCATATTATAATTGGCAAAACATGTATATTTGCAGTAAGCAGATGATTTAAAATTGGCAAATTCTTTGACACATGTAAAGAAAGCCATTATTATATTACCATTATCAAAAAAAGTTTTTATTAGCTTATATGGAATGTCAGAATTTTGAGATTTTTATGTTATCTTAATCACACAATATATGAACAAGTATACAGCAAATGATTTTGGAATGGCAACCAAGAAAGATAATGCATAAGCCGAGAAAGGTGGACTTGTCTTCAGTCAAAATTTATTTAGACAAAGTTTTGTATATTAAATTCTTACTTTTGAATATATCACTTTGATATTCATAGCCTGATTTGAACCTTCTGTCTATATAGCTTGTTCTAATTTATTTCACTGTCAAAGTCAGGGCCCCTTAATCTAAAGATATTATTACTTTATAGACTTTTTTCCTAAGCAAAACGTGAGAAAAATCTCTAATCTCTGACACTCGTTAACTGGAATAAATAATGCCTGCTTTTAATCTTGTAAAGTCAAAATGAACGAGTCATCAAAAAAAATGGTGTGTTACATTTTATATCTTTGATTATTTTTTTTGTTTAAATCTTTCCAGCTATATTTTATATATATTTTATACATAGGATTTAAGCATGAATATGAATATAAATCATGCATTCTATTTCATATGAAGATTTGTTTTGCCTGAATTTGAACTGTATGTTGCCAAAAGTGAAAGAGTTAACATGGCTTAATATAATAACACAACACTTGCACTTGTTTTATTCATGATGGTATTCATTTCAATCTTGATTTATAATAAACAAAGCAGTTAGCTTGAGATAGATACATGTATTTTCTTTAAAAAATGGTATATCTAGTAAATAAGAAACAACCACTTTTCACATTCGAAAGAGTAATGATTTCCTTCTGTTAAATCTTGTAGTCAAATATTAACATAGTAAAGACTATGACTCGTTAAATATTACAATAACAAACACATTTGAAGTTATAAACTTCATCATACACAGACACTGCTTGTCATGTTGTGAATTTAAAAACAGACTATAGACTTTACTTTTAAACATATATTACAACACTTAAGAAATTGGTTATTGAGCCTGTGAAAAAAATGTCATAATATGTCATATTAAGATGTCAGCAGCTGACTGTAACTTGGCCGTTGTGGGAGTTTCTGTTGTTGCCTTTGTAAAGCATCATCATAAGACTTGACTTGAAGGTTTACTTTAGGACCAGTTCTCCATGTGGCTCCCTCTGTGTCAGTAATGGCCGCTTCTATGCTTACTGAGTGAATGCCAACTAGCGGGAAACGAAGTATAAAACTGAGGCTGAAGTAGTCATTATGAGGTTCAACTGACTGCTCCAGATTGTTCACACTTGATTCTGTAACCTGGAAACATTTATATCAAGTAATGCAATACAATAATTACACATGTATAATAATAATATCCAAACTAGAAATGTGTCCATAGGACACAGGTGCCCCCACACACCACCGATTTGTCAATCTTATGTCTCTAGGTCATTTTTTTTTTGGCTACATCTGCCCAAGTTGAAAACTAAAAATCTTGTATTAAGTAAAGGGCAAATACTACAAACACTGAATAAATCCAAAAGGAACCCCAAGGTGCATAAGTACACATGCTGACCAACATTCTTGGAAACTTTCAGGCCTACATGTCATAAACTTTTTAAGTTATGTGCAACACAAGTTAAATATTGTAATTTTTTACTAAGTCAAGGGCAATAACTCTAAAAATACTAAAAATATCCACACAAAAATACCCAGGTGCACAAATACACATGCTGAGCAACATTCTTGTAAGGTTTCATGACTCTAGGTCAAATACTTTTTTGAGTTACGTGTGACACAAGTTGAAAATTGCAAATTTTTACTAAGTCAAGGGCAATAACTCTAAAAATACTAAATATATCCACATGAAAATACCCCGGTGCACAACTTCACATGCTGATCACTATTCCTGTAAGGTTTCATGACTAGGTCAATTACTTTTTGAGCTACGTGCCACACAAAAATGAAACAAGAGGGCCATGATGGCCCTGAAATCGCTCACCTGTATAAAGGCACCCGGAGCGGGGCCAGTTTAAACCCCAGGGCTTTTATTTGAACAAACTTGGAAGACACCCATTAGAAGATGTTTCACGATGTTAAGTTTTTACTACACACATATAATGAAAAACAACGATCTACCCCCCCCCCCCCCGGCAGGGCCAATTTTAATCCAAGGGCTTTTATTTGAACAAACTTGGTAAACACCCATAAGAAGATGTTTCATGCTAAACATCTAAGCTCTAGCTCATTGGGTTTTTTTAAAAGAAGTTTTTTTTAAGTTTTTACTATACACATATAGTTTAAACTAATGACACCCCTGGGGCGGGGCCAGTTTTGACCCCAGGGCTTTTATTTGAACAAACTTTGTAGACACTTACTAGAAGATGTTTCATGCTTAATATCTAAACTCCAGCTATTTGGGTTTTTTTCAAAGAAGATTTTTTAAGTTTTTGCTATATACATATAAGGAAAATCAATGACCCCCGGGGCGGGGCCAATTTTGACCCCAGGGCTTTTATTTGAACAAACTTGGTAGACACCCATTAGAACATGTTTCATGCTAAATATCTTAGCTCTAGCTCTTTGAGTTCTTTAAAAAAGGATTTTTTAAGTTTTTACTATATGCATATAGGGAAAATCAATGACCCCCTGGGGCGGGGCCAATTTTGACCCCAGGGCTTTTATTTGAACAAATTTTGTAGACACTCATTAGAAGATGTTTCATGCTAAATATCTTAGCTCTAGCTCTTTGGGTTCTTTAAAAGAAGATTTTTTAAGTTTTTACAATAAGCATATAGGGAAAATCAAAGACCGACCCCCTGGGGCGGGGCCAATTTTGACCCCAGGGCTTTTATTTGAACAAACTTGATAGACACTCACTAGAAGATGTTTCATGCTTAATATCTAAACTCTAGCTATTTGGGTTTTTTCAAAGAAGATTTTTTAAGTTTTTAGCTCACCTGAGCACAAAGTGCTCAAGGGTGAGCTTTTGTCATCACTCTGCGTCCGTCGTGCGTCGTGCGGTGTGCGTCGTGCGTCCTTCAAAAAATGGCGTCAAACTTTTCAAACAACATCTCCTCCTAAACCACATGGCCAATTGCAACCAAACTTTACAGAAATGATCCTTAGGTGGACCCCTTTCAAAGTTGTTCAAAAATTTAAATTCCATTAAAAACTCTGGTTGCCATGGCAACCAATAGGAAAAACTTAAAAAATCTTCTTTTAAAAAACCCTAAGAGCTAGAGCTTAGATATTTGGCATGAAACATCTTCTAATGAGTGTCTACCAAGTTTGTTCAAATCAAAGCCCTGGGGTCAAAATTGGCCCCGCCCCAGGGGGTCATTGATTTTCCCTATATGCATATAGTAAAAACTTAAAAAATCTTCTTTTAAAGAACTCAAAGAGCTAGAGCTAAGATATTTAGCATGAAACATGTTCTAATGGGTGTCTACCAAGTTTGTTCAAATAAAAGCCCTAGGGTCAAAATTGGCCCCGCCCCGGGGGTCATTGATTTTTCTAATATGTGTATAGCAAAAACTTAAAAATCTTCTTTTAAAAAACACATATAGCTAGAGTTTAGATATTAAGCATGAAACATCTTCTAGTAAGTGTCTACAAAGTTTGTTCAAATAAAAGCCCTGGGGTCAAAATTGGCCCCGCTCCAGGGGGTCTTTGATTTTCCCTATATGCATATAGTAAAAACTTAAAAAAATCTTCTTTTAAAGAACCCAAAGAGCTAGAGTTTAGATATTAAGCATGAAACATCTTCTAGTGATTGTCTACAAAATTTGTTCAAATAAAAGCCCTGGGGTCAAAATTGGCCCCGCCCCGGGGGTCATTGATTTTCCTTAAATGTGTATAGCAAAAACTTAAAAAATCTTCTTTGAAAAAACCCAAATAGCTGGAGTTTAGATATTAAGCATGAAACATCTTCTAGTGAGTGTCTACAAAGTTTGTTCAAATAAAAGCCCTTGGATCAAAATTGGCCCCGCCCCAGGGGGTCTTTGATTTCCCTATATGCATATAGTAAAAACTTAAAAAACTTCTGTTAAAGAACCCAAAGAGCTGGAGCTTAGATATTTGGCATGGAACATCTTCTAATGAGTGTCTACCAAGTTTGTTCAAATAAAAGCCCTGGGGTCAAAATTGGCCCCGCCCCAGGGGGTCTTTGATTTTCCCTATATGCATATAGTAAAAACTTGAAATATCTTCTTTTAAAGAACCCAAAGAGCTAGAGCTTAGATATTTGGCATGAAACATCTTCTAATGAGTGTCTACCAAGTTTGTTCAAATAAAAGCCCTGGGGTCAAAATTGGCCCCGCCCCAGGGGGTCTTTGATTTTCCCTATATGCATATAGTAAAAACTTAAAATATCTTCTTTTAAAGAACCCAAAGAGCTAGAGCTAAGATATTTAGCATGAAACATCTTCTAATGAGTGTCTACCAAGTTTGTTCAAATAAAAGCCCTAGGGTCAAAATTGGCCCCGCCCCAGGGGGTCATTGATTTTCCCTTTATGCATATAGTAAAAACTTAAAAAAATCTTCTTTTAAAGAACTCAAATAGCTAGAGCTAAGATATTTAGCATGAAACATGTTCTAATTGGTGTCTACCAAGTTTGTTCAAATAAAAGCCCTAGGGAGGGGCGGAAGGAAGGGGGGTAGATCGTTGTTTTTCATTATATGTGTGTAGTTAAAACTTAACTTCGTGAAACATCTTCTAATGGGTGTCTTCCAAGTTTGTTCAAATAAAGGTCCTGGGGTTTAAACTGGCCCCGCACTGCGTGCCTTTATACAGGTGAGCGATCTCAGGGCCATCATGGCCCTCTTGTTACTATATGCATATAGGGAAAATCAATGACCCCCTGGGGCGGGGCCAATTTTGACCCCAGGGCTTTTATTTGAACAAACTTGGTAGACACTCATTAGAAGATATTTCATGCTTAATATCTTAGCTCTAGCTCTTTGGGTTCTTTCAAAGAAGATTTTTAAGTTTTTACTATATGCATATAGGGAAAATCAAAGACCCCCTGGGGCGGGGCCAATTTTGACCCCAGGGCTTTTATTTGAACAAACTTGGTAGACACTCATTAGAAGATGTTTCATGCCAAATATCTAAGCTCTAGCTCTTTGGGTTTTTTAAAAGAAGATATTTAAAGTTTTTTCTTTCGGTTGCCATGGCAACCAGAGTTCAGCATGGAATTAAATTCTTTGAACAATTTTTAAAGGTGACCACCAAAGGAACATTCCTGTGAAGTTTGGATGAAATTGGCTTAGTGGTTTATGAGGAGATGTCATTTAAAGTAAAAGTTTACGGACGGACGGACAACGAACGAAAAGCGATCACAAAAGCTCACACTGTCACTTTGTGAAAGGTGAGCTAAAAAGTGAGGGGTAATAAAACAAAATATTGTGCTGTTTTAAGTAGAGTTTATCTGTTTGGTAAGTATTTCGTATATACGCCCTTTATTTTCAACACAATTAATTACCATCTTTTTTCATACACGCATTTGTAGGTACACTTTCTTTCATTCAAACAATAATTTTTGCACGTATATAGCTTTATACACTTTAATCATATAAGGACATACATGTTCACCACAGGTAATATTACCATAAATATTAAAGAAAAAGTAAATGATGATATTTATTACAAACCTTTTGATCAGTATTTGTCTGTGTTCTTGAAACAACATTTGATGTAACTATGATATTAATGCTGTGTATCTTGCGGAAGAGACCAGGCTTGGTCCCATGTTGAACTATACCTTCAACCTTGAGTGTCAGGTATGTATCATTCTGTACAAGAACTGGCTCTGTGGCTGTCTGCTGGGGAGATATTGCTAACTGAAAATGTTAAATCTTGATGAGAGTGTGTTACCGTTAAATGAAGTCACTTGTATCCCATTCGAGCAACAACATATATCTGATTCTAGTTGATTCAAATTTCTCAACTGATAACAAATATATAGCAAAACTCTATTTCAAGTAAAGCACACAAACATATGTACCATGCTTCTGCTCTTAAAACATTCAATGACTTCAATATTATTTTACACAATTAGAATTAAATTGTCAAGGGCAATGAACTTCACATATCGGTATTATACATATATTATGAACATCTTATATGAGACTCCTAGTTTGCTTCTAAAGAAAACGGAGCTAGATGACTTCTTGTACTAAGCAAAAACAATAATTCTTTAAGAGGAAAAAAACTTCTTTACTAAAGTAAGAGACTAATTTGATTTTTGAACAAATCCAAATACATGTACTTTTAAACCCAAGCTTGTCCCATATCGCGTAAACATTTTAAATTTGTAACACAAAGGTGAAAATTCACCTAAACAATCCTGACCAACATGGAATTCAAACTCCTATCCTCCTGCATTTAACACACACATAAAAAACAAAAACAATTCATGACCACCAAACAAAATAACAGATTCCCAAAAGCACTTGTAATTAGATCTGCACTCTTACATCACTGACATTTATTACTCATTCAGTAAAAATAAAAACTGAGCCGCGTCATGACAAAACCAATGTAATGCGTTTGCGACAAGCATGATTCCAGACCAGCCTGCGTGTCCACGCAGTCTGTTCAGGATCCATGCTGTTTGCTATCAGTTTCTCTATTGGTAATAGAGTATGTTAGCAAACAGCTTGGATCCTGATCAGACTGCGCGGATGCTAAGGCTGGTCTGGATCCACGCTAGTCGCAAACCCATTATGTTGGTTTTGTCATGACGCGGCTTAAAATCTTCCTTCCAACACTTGAATGTTCTCCAAGACATCGTTTCAGGATTGCTGCAGGGATGTGAGCATAAAAATATACAGGCAGTAATTTTGATTACCTTAAGGGCCGTCTGCTGTAAACTCTGGAAGAAGTACCGAGGGAAACAGTTTGGTGCTAAAGCTAGTCTAGATGCTGCTTCACTGAGAAATTCTACATGCTATGAATAGAACAATGAAAATATTGTCAAATGTGGAATTCTACATGAAACAGTTTAGCTACCCAATTATTTATATAAGATTTTTCTGACAATAGATTTTATTGTAAGATAATAAAATAAATCCTTAATCTATAATCTATTGCTTATGACATTTATCAAAAGTATTAAGGTGGACAAATAACAAGGCAATATAGCTCAGTGGTAGAATGCAGCGTTCGGTCTTAAAATATTATGTTGAAACCACTGAATAACATTTGCAAAATGGGCAGGTTAAAATTTCAAACAATAAAAATGTGATTACATTATGTGAAATGACTTCAGTGCCCTCTGTCCGCAGTAAGGTAGCTAACTCTGTATGAACTGTATTAAGAAGCTGTTTAAACTTGTCTCCAGTAACCTCCCCTACACCAAGCACCATTTTATCTGCCAGCAATGCTTGACTGAAATATAAATGTATCTAAAAGTGAAATATTTTTTATAATTTTTCATGATTAAAAGTATTATTACATGAATATTCAAAATGATATGAGCCGGGCCATGACAAAACCAACATAATGGGTTTGCGACCAGCATGGATCCAGACCAGCCTGCGCATCCATGCAGTCTGATCAGGATCCATGCTGTTCGCTATCAGTTTCTCTACTTGTTATAGGGTCTGTAAGCGAACAGCATGGATCCTGATCAGACTGCGCGGATGCGCAGGCTGGTCTGGATCCATGCTGGTCGCAAACCCATTATGTTGGTTTTGTCGTGACACAGCTTATATAAAATATTTCAACAATCAGAAGTGGTATAACAGATAAAGAGGTTTAACATTTGCAACATTTATTTCTGTCTTATAATGGGAAACTTCAGTGTCTATTTTCCTGTATTTCAATCAGATTCACTAAAGGCTTGTTTGTCATTAATGCACTTGTCATTTAGCACTGTCCTTCATGCTGTCTTTATCATGAAATCTCTTTAAATAAAATATATTTTTGGTGAGGGCACAAAGAAACAAATATATATTTATCTAATTTATGGATTAAGGACATTTTCGGGAATTTTCATATAGACATATAGGCAAAATTTAAACTGTTCTATAAAATTTCTTTAAACTTGGCATGTTTACATGATAACTTGAAAATGAGACCGGTGACCTCAATTTTTTCCCATTTAAAATGTTTCTGTTATCATATTCTAATAACATGCAAAGTTTAAAGAAATTCTATTGAAAAGTTTTAATTTTGCATATAATTATGTCTTTATGAAAACTCCGAAAAACATCAAAAAAAAATCAACAAATTGAGCAGTTGTATCTTATCATTTAAATGGAGCTGCAGTTTGTTTGTTTGATAGGGTTTTACGTCACACCAACACAGTATAGGTCATATGGCAACGTTCCAGCTTTACTGGTGGAGGAAGACCTCAGATGCCCTTCTGTGCATTATTTCAGGCACAAACGGGCACCCGAGTAGAAACACTGACATTCCATAAGCTAGCTGGATAGCTTCCTCACATGAAAGAATCTAAAGTCCCTGTTGGGATTCGAACCCACAGCGGTGAGGGGCAAGTGGTTTGAAGTCAACGACCTTAACCACTCGGCCACAGACGCCCCGTAATTCCTTATATAATAAGTCTGTATTTGTCGAAAGCTGGTGCAAGTCATTAATCTAAGAACTTTTACACTTTTATAAAGAAAAGTGGCTGTAAATGAAGTTAATTATACCCATCATGTCCATTTTGAACAATAGAAGAGATTGCAAGTTTCATTAGTTCACAGCTTGTTTGTAATCTAAGTTATGTAATTAAGGAACATGTACTATATAAAACACTTTATTCCTTCAATGATTCTGTATCTCTTACAAGTCAGATTTTCTTCAAAGAATAATAATATATGTATTTGCTGCATGTATATTCAATACAAAATGGTGGAGAAAGACCTCAGATACCCATCCATGCATTTTTTTTAGGTACAAAGGAGTAGAACCACTGGCATTCCGTAAACTATCTTATCTTTTCCCTACGTAACTGTACGCCAAGTATTCCACATACATCATTTGAGACAACTGTAGTGGACAAAAAAGGGATTTTCCAGATAATGTTAGATTAATAAGATAAGTTAGATTTTCTAAGATAATGTACTGATTAATGGGTGGGATTTTCGAGATAAAGTACAGATTTCATTATAAATGATTGGGACTTTCAAAAGAATGTTAGATAAATAATAATGAGTGGGATTTCCTACGTAAATTACAGATTAAAGGGAGGTATTTTCTAGATAATGTACATATAAGATCAGAGTTTAAGAAAGGATACTGTTGTATATTTTGTAAGGAAGCTGGGTCAGCATCAAATGACTGTTGATATAGGGCAGCCAGTCTTTCACTTATCTTCTCATAATCACTGGCAGTCTTACCAAGCTGAAAAGAAAAATGAGCCGTGTCATGACAAAACCAACATAGTGCGTTTGCGACCAGCATGGATCCAGACCAGCCTGCGCATCCGCGCAGTCTGATCAGGATCCATGCTGTTCACTTACAAACCCTATAACAAGTAGAGAAACTAATAGCGAACAGCATGGATCCTGATCAGACTGCGCAGATGCTCAGGCTGGTCGGGATCCATGCTGGTCGCAAAAGCACTATGTTGGTTTTGTCAAGACGCGGCTCAAATTAAAAAATCAATTCTAAGGCACACTTGTTACAAATCTAGACCTATATTTCCATTATTATACAGTTCATGTCTAAATACATGTAAACAAACATTTAGCTATATTATTTTTATGTTTTGCCTGGTTAATGGCAATAAATTATACTATGAATGCTGCATTTTCTGTTCATACATATAAACACAAATTTAACAAGAATTACAAATCTTTTTTGTTAATTTTCAGCCCAGTAATTTAACATTCTGTGTATGATACAACGATTCAAAACATCTGAAACAAGAACTGTCTGAGGACAGTAACGCTCGACTATTCGAAAAGTTGTCACAAGTGTGTTTCATCAGGGTCTTTCAGATAGAATGGTCTGGAGACGGACCAATTTTAAGAAAAAAGCTGTCTCGGTTGAGTCACTTGATTGGGTTATCTACCGACCGTGATCTGTCATAGCACATCACCATTCAAAAATCAAATTATAAGATAATGTTTTGTTAAATCAATCAAACATTTACTAAAAACTAACTCTGGCTACATTATATTATCAGTTTTTACTTAAAAAGTAACAATTTTATAGATTTGCAATCAAATTAGGAATTTTTCGTTCCCAGTGTCAAGGTAAAAATCTACTGCTCATATTTGAAAATAGGTCCGAGTTTCATGAGCTTTTTTTTAATTTATGCATTTTTCAATGACGAAATAGAAATGGATTTTACAGAGGAAAGATGTTATTAAATCGTATCATGTAAATATATTATAATGTTTCACAATGTTATTTGCAAATATTTGATGTTTAATTTGGTGCATTTTCAAAATGGCGCTGTTTATTGGCAAATATCCTGAACAATCAATCTATGTTTTTCAACAAATATGGCTTTAAAAACATTATTTTCTGAAATATTTATCCTTTTTTCACAAGTTTAAAGATTTTTAAATAACATCATGTCGTTAAAATTTTCATTTTTGCTCTTGTATTTAATTTTCGCCCTTTTCTTGAACACTTACATAATTTGCATAAGGCAAATTATACCGAGTTATACCGAGACATGTTTAATTGTAGCGAGAAGGGTTTACATAGCGTGTTTCCAGACCATTCTATTAGAAAGACCCTGGTTTCATTGAGTATAATACTGCTTACCAATATGAATACATAATATTGTCTGAAAAGGTACAAAGGTTTGTTATTAAGATGTTTTATGGCGTTAATCACTGCTTTATTATTATGAATGCATAAAAATTGTTCCAAAAAACTTTACATAGAATTTCTAAGCCGAAAAAGGTGCATAATTAAAAACAGAGTTATGGGACTTGTGCCAATCATGTAAGATAATCACAGAGAACAAGTATGTGAAGTTTCAATCCATTCCCTTCAGTAGTTATGGAGAATACCAGCTTGCACGCAAAAACATAACCAAGAATTTCTACGTCATAAAGGGGCATAATTATGCAAAAAAGCAAATCAGAGTTATGGGACTTGTGCCAATCATGTTAGATAATCACAGAACACAAGTGTGTGAAGTTTCAATCCATTCCCTTCAGTAGTTATGGAGATACCAGCTTGCACGCAAAAACTTAACCAATAACATCTAAGGCGAAAAAGGGGCATAATTATGCAAAAAAGCAAATCAGAGTTGTGCCAATCATGTAAATTATTCAATTATTTCAATCCATTCCCTTCAGAAGTTATGGAGATGCCAGCTTGCACGCAAAAACTTAACCAAGAATTTCTAAGTCGAAAAAGGGGCATAATAATGCAAAAAAGCAAATCAGAGTTAGGGACTTGAGCCAATCATGTAAGTTAATCACAGAGAACAAGTGTGTGAAGTTTCAATCTGTTCCCTTCAGTAGTTATGGAGATACCAGCTTGCACGCAAAAACTTAACCAATAATTTCTAAGTGGAAAAAGGCGCAAAATTATGCAAAAAAGCAAATCAGAGTTATGGGACTTGTGCCAATCATGTTAGATAATCACAGAGAACAAGTGTGTGAAGTTTCAATCCATTCCCTTCAGTAGTTATGGAGATACCAGCTTACACGCAAAAACTTAACCACAGGGACGCCGACAAATGGGTGACTGCATTAGCTCGATTATTCTGCGAATAGTCAAGCTAAAAATTACTAATAATTTAAAAGTAATTAAGATATCTAATATGATTAAACAGATTCATATCTATTACAAAATTTCCAATTTTCATGAAAATGTTTGTTCGTTAGATTGGGTTTTACGTCACATTGACACAATATAGGTCATATTGCGACATTCCAGCTTAGCTGGTGGAGGAAGACCGCAGGTGCCCCTTGGTGCATTATTTCAGGCACGATCAGGCACATGAGTAGGACCACCGACGTTCCGTAATTCATGAAAAATAAGATAATGACAAAGTTGTAATCATACACTACCTGTGTAACAGTATGTTCACATTTAGTGAGTTCCTGCCCCTTGGCAACAGCCTGAGCCGCTGCGATGGCAGGAGGGGGGCATGTCTTAAATGTGTTACATGTACGCAACAACTGTGTGTGTACATCGAGGAGGGAGGCTCGTAACTGTATATACTCTGATTGAAACTGTAGAGGGAAGCTTGGCACCACAGCAGCCTGTAATACAATACTCTTACTATGATATATCTGAGCCCCGTCACAACAAAATCAACATAGAGCATTTGCGACCAGCATGGATCCAGACCAGCCTGCGCATCCGGGCAGTCTGATCAGGATCCATGCTGTTCGCTATCAGTTTCTCTACTTGTAATAGGGTTTGATGCGCAGACTGGTCTAGATCCATGCTGGTCGCAAAAGCACTATAATGGTTTTGTCATGGCGCAGATCAATTATATCTGTGATCTTTAATATGTGACCTAGGATTTTTGACAAATATCTTGTTGCCTTAATATAAAGAAATGTGCGATGTTGATACGAATTATGAGAATGAAAAGCTGCAATCAAAAAGGTCTAGTGTAATTGAAAACATTGATTTTATTCTTTTTGGGAATAGGGATATTTAAATTACAGCAAAACTCTCAAGGTCATATAGCTACTTTTCTGCTGAATTAAACTAGAACTGCCACTATCATGGCGTGAATACCCCCGCATACCACTTTGTCAGAATCAACAGTGGCCATTTAGAGCTCAAGGACAACCTCCCTTTACTAAGCCAGTACATTGCTACTCAAATGTGAAAATGTCAAAATCAATACACTGCAGACAGGCATTCTTTAGCAACTGAGAAGAAAAGCTTTTTTTTGTCAAGGTCCCTGTGACCTTGATCTTTGACCCAGTGACCTCAAAATCAATAGGGGTCACCTTATGGTCATGATCAACATCCATTCCCAATATGAAGACTGTGGGTCAAAGGAACCTTAAATTAATGGGGGGACAAACTTTTTTAGTCAAGGCCCCTGTGACCTTGACCTTTAACCTGGTGACCTCAAAATCAATAGGGGTCACCTATTAATCATGACTAACCTCCATGCCAAATATGAAGACTATTGGTCAAAGGAATCTTAAGTTAATGGGCAGACAAACTTTTTGAAGTCAAAGTCCCTGTGACCTTGACCTTCGATCCAGTGACCTCAAAATCAAAAGGGGTCATGTACTAATCATGACTAACCTCCATTCCAAATATGAAGACTGTGGGTCAAAGGAATCTAAAGTTGTTGGGCAGACAAGATTTTTATAGTCAAGGCCCCTGTGACCTTGACCTTTTACCCAGCAAAATCAATAGGGGTCATTTACTAATCATGACTAACCTCCATGCCAAATATGAAGACTGTAGGTCAAAGGAATCTTAAGTTATTGAGCAGACAAGCTTTTTGAAGTCAAGGCCCCTGTGACCTTGACCTTTGACCTGGTGACCTCAAAATCAATAGGGGTCATCTACTAATCATGACTAACCTCCATGCCAAATATGAAGACTAAGGGTCAAAGGAATCTTAAGTTATTGGGCGGACAAGAAAAAACCGACGGACAGCCGGACGGACAAGCTGATTCCAGTATCCCTTACAACTTTGTTGTGCGGGGGTATAATAAGACCTCATTTGTCCATACATGCATTATTTCACAACCTATTAACCTTTTGTAAGGTTGCTACTTAGCTTCTTCACATGAAGTTGTACAACTTTAATTATTAAAGTAAGAAGTCTGTTTCATCAAGCCTATTTAAAAACATTTCAAGCAAAATGCTTGCTATAGCTAAAAAATATACTATGCTCATCTTTTGGTAAAAAAAAACTTTAATTGTAGAAATTTATTGAAATCTAGGAATTTCTTACTGAATATGTCTAATCAGAGATGTAGATAACAGAGATAAGCAGCTCCTATATATACTCTATTGAAATATCACTTATGCATATCAAAAAACTTAATGGATGTACATTTGATCCTTTTATATAATACATCATTTGAAAGTTAAATCTTTTATTTATTGCTGCATGTTAAAATATTTGTAACTTTCCATGTCTTTCACTTAGAAAAACATAGCAAAACATACCCAGTGAGCCAGTTTTTTCGTCATATGAATAGATTTGTAACAAAAATTAATATGTAGTTTTCTTTAAAAATTGATGGTTATCATTTATTTAAATAGGAACTGTAAATGTTTTTACCTGCAGCCATAGACAAATGCATAAGCTGTCAGGAAATGTATTATTTTACTGATTTTGATATCTTGTCAATAAGTTTTACTTGCTACAAGTTTTAAGTTTAGCAAGCACGCATGATATCTTTACTAGCTAGGAAGTTGCCAATCTCTGTTATCTATGTCTCTGGTCTAATTTGTGTAACAGAATGCTCAGCGTATGTTTTTGTAGCTGGTCAATTTGCTTTTTAATGACACTATATGTTCCTACTGCCTCCTACTGCCTTTCCCTTTCGTGTGTATAGTAAAAACGTAACATATCTTCTCTGTGTGTACTCAAAAGATGATTATGTTACAATTGATAAGAGACTTTAACTATCTGTATTTTCAAATATCAAATTTGAGCATAATATATCTTTATAAGTTATTATAACATTACCTAGCAAAGAGACAAACCTTTAATGAAGTAAGACCTTTATGGTAGAATGAGAGTGCTTGTTGTAGTTTTGCTATTACACTTCCAGTGTCAACATGTAGACATTTTTCTCCTAGAGTTATCTCATGTAGTCCAATCAGCCAGAAATAAAAATGTTCTGATGATACCTGTACAAAACGAGGAAACTGTAAATGATTCAAGCAAGTTTAGCAATGAAATCAGAAATACTGACTAGCCTATGTTACAAGTATAGAGCTGAGCCAGTCTGCAAAAATGAGCAGTATAACACCAAAATATAAACTGATGGGTAGTGTTTGCTGCCAAGTTCTAGTTGTTGATACTGAAAATCCAGTATACTAGTCCCAAAAAAAGAACACATGTTTAATACTCAAATTTCAATAGATGAAACAGAGTTTTTTATACTGATTTAATAACATAATTGGTGAAATAAAGTTTTGATCATGAAACATTCCAATTGGTGAAATAGAGTTTTGATCACGAAACATTCCAATTGGTGAAATAGAGTTTTGATCACAAAACATTCCAATTGGTGAAATAAAGTTTTGATCACGAAACATTCTAATTGGTGAAATATAGTTTTGATCACGAAACATTCCAATTGGTGAAATAGAGTTTTGATCACGAAACATTCCAATTGGTGAAATAAAGTTTTGATTACGAAACATTCAAATTGGTGAAATAAAGTTTTGACCTCAAAACATTCCATTTCTTAAATAAAGTTTTGAACTCAAAACGAAACCATTGGTAAAAATGTAGCTTTGACTTCAGAATATTACAATTGGTGAAGAATGTTGGAATAATAACTTACTTTTTTAGCCAAAGCCTGGAATATATTTTCTGCTATTCCACACTGACCATATCTCAGTGCCTGCCTAGCAGTCTTGTAAGCTAGCCAAGGATCAGATCTTTCTGTACATGACAAGATTAAACCCTCAACATCTACAGGGATAGCAGTACCACTTGCCACTTGAAACAGTACTGTGCATAAATACACCTGAAATGATATTTAGGTCATGGTCATGCTTTTCAAATTAAAGAATCATTTCCAAAAGCCAATCCTAGATCTAATTCCAAAGTGTATAATAAGTATATGAGAAATAGCAGTTGACTGTTAGCTGATAATTGTTATCAAAGTGCATATACATGTAAATCATTGCAATAAGCAAGAATAAAAAAAGGAGAACCTTTGTGTATTATTTCATACTGTGTAATATTTCAGGCAAGAGCTAATTATAAACCCCTAATTGAGCTAAAAATATTTCTCACATAAAGAATTATTCAATGCACCTTTTTGGACCAAAAGTAATTAGGTTTTTGCAACCAGTATAGTCTGACTAGGTTTTACACCTGTTGGCTGACTAATTTTTAATATCATCCTGATATCCCTTAAATTGACAATGGACATTTCCATAAAATTTAAGCTGGACAAGTCCATTTAACAATTTCAGCAGGTGAAAAGTTATAGGAGCAATATAAGGTTAACCATACATACCATAATTTTTTAAGCAATTTTCGGGACACTTCTCATTTGGAGGTGGGTAGGCGGTAGGGCATTGTTCAGCAACCAAATTGTTTGGACAGATACATTATTTCTGGGACAATCCTCGAAGTCGGGGATAATATGGCATGTATGAGGTTAACTGGTAGTAACAATGGATCAGTAAAACCAAACAAAGACAGCTTTTATCTTAACATATAGTTTATCTTTACTACATTTTACTACATGTACATTCTCAGATAGCATAGCAACTTGCACAACATCTGTTCGAAGTACAATATAAAAAATATGAAATTTGTGTAAGAATGTAAGTAATTTCATCTTTTACAACTCTCTGCAAAAAAATCATTAATTAAATCTTGAATTACTTTCATATCTTTACCTGCATCTGATGTGGTTCCAGGCCTGCATTAAGAGAATTCTGTAAGACTCCAAGCAGTTGGGGTACCACAGATTTCGGCAGTAATGATTGGTTGAGAGATCCTATAGCAGCCAAACTTTCACACAATGCTATATCTGATTGACCTGTGAAAGTATTTGTTCAGCTGTTTATATTACATACTCTGCTACAATTTCAGTTTCAGTACTGTAAATTCACATAATGTCGTGGGCATAACAAATTTTGTGGTTTTATCACAAGGACATTTTATCACGTTTTTTTGTTTTTGTTTTTTTTAATTCATTGATTGTCTATTCTTGCAAAAAGTAAAGCACAAATATTGTAATGCAAAATAATCTTGCAGCAGACAAAATGAAATTTCTTTGGATCTTGAATTTTAAGTATTGACCTATAAATAAAAACCATGAAAATTAGTTCCCCAAAAGTTATACGTTTTGCAGTATATAGAGTTAAGAAGACGTGATCTTTTATGCCTAATCTTGATTCAAAAACAAAACACATATATGACACATAATATGAGTTATATATCTACAATGTACATACCTTAAAAATCTTTATTTAACTTATATACATAAAAAGTCTAAAAGGAAACAAGGACATGTACATGTACTGAAGTACAATAGAACAGTTGTGGTCAATTGTCATGTTAAAACTCAGTGGTATGAGCCTAACAAATCAAATTCAACCAATCACTGACTATAAGAAAATTAGACCTTTATCTTTTTTTTGTATTTGAAATTTCAAAATCCACTATGCGTTCAAATAGAATGCAAAAGCCATGTAACTGAGTAAGAAGTGTGTAAAATCTACAAACTTCAAATTATGACAATCTTATTACAGAAAATAATGTCCATTGTGAGTATTTCATATAGTAAAGATCGCATTAGATTGTTGGAAGGGGCGATAACTGGAATTTATTCTTTAAATGCTTGTAAAGTATGGTAATCGTTTTCTATCAAGTGATTTAAATATTGATGACAATTGTTGCGTCACTCATCAAACTAGCGGTCTGACAATAAGCTGGTATACAACAACCCACCATCTGCCAACAAATACCATTTGACATTTCTAAAGTGAATGGTAGTTGAAGTTTTATATATAGAGGATATTGAATGAGTGTAAGTTATTGAATGAGTTGAATAAAATTATATAATGCGAGCCTCTGGCGAATTTAATATTCTATTTATCACATACCAAAAATAAAGATCGTTTGAAATGAAAAAGAACCTTCTTTTAAAATTTTTTTTTCATTGACGCGCCTATAATGCTAACATTTAGCGGGTCTTGACGCTATGTTTATATAAAGAAAATGACGTCTCGTCAAAAAGTATGCACAGACGTGCAATACCATTTTTACGGAGTCGTAAAACGGCATGGGTATGTGATATTATTTAATTTTACCAATGAAATATGGTGCTATATCAGTCAAATATATTTCATATTTTTTAAAAATAAATATGAAATATAAATATGAAAGTGGGCGGAGTCAAAACTCATATTTATTTTAAGGGACTTCTTTAGCCAGCTTGTTTGAAAAATCTAAATAATACGAAACAACTTTTTGTTGAATTTTGTTTTGAAAACTATCTAGATTGATAGAAAATGGTCTAACTAAGAAAATAAATCCGAACACCAATATCTTTAATTCAGTCATTAATTCTGTACAGACGTTAAAAGAATTGTTTATGTGATGTCACAATGTATCGCTATATATCACGTTCAAAACAAGACAATAATTATATTACTGCCCAATTGCAGCAAGCAAGGGGGTTCGTAACCATTTTCTTTGATAATGAAAGTAAATAAAAAGGTTACTTTTTTGTTTTTGTGAAACGTGGTATACATTTTCACGAAACATAAAATGCCACATATTTCACTCAAACGAAAAAATATCCTCTTAATATTAGTTACAAAGATTTTTGACAAGTAATATGGCTGTATAAAAATGGTTGTTTGTGAATATTACCTGAGCCCCTAGTCAAAGATTATATCACAATCATTAATATATGTCCATATAACCTGTCAGAAATATTTATAATGAACTTATAATAGAGCAAGCATCAATTTTTTAGTGAAACAAGTGAGATTTCTTAATAAATTGAAAGCAGCCTTGTATAAAAAACTAAATAAATGTCTTGACTATCAAATGAAAAGCGTTGTTACAAACATGCAGTATTATAAAGTTTTTCATAACAATAAATGTACATGTATTACAATATACAGGCTATATCACAAGATATCACAATACATGATTGTACATATTGTTGCATCCATACATGTAACCATATTATCCTTTCTTTTAATAAGCAAACATAATGACATACTCACCAGCCAACAATAGCTACAATATATCATTTCTACCTGATATATGACTGCAACAATCTACTTTGTAAATTACCTTGTGATTCCGACAAGAGACTAGCAATACACAATAGCTACAATATATCATTTCTACCTGATATATGACTGCAACAATCTACTTTGTAAATTACCTTGTGATTCTGACAAGAGACTAGCAATACACAATAGCTACAATATAACATTTCTACCTGATATATGACTGCAACAATCTACTACGTAAATTACCTTGTGATTCCGACAAGAGACTAGCAATACAGGTAACAAATGTGTCAGCAACCTTTGGTTGATGTTTGCTCAGTTCTACAGCACACCGTAAACATAGCTGAATATAGAAAACACAATTGTTGACATAAATAAAAGTAGCTGCATTTAGAAAACATGAGATATAGAAAACATGGTGAAGACACTGCTAAATATTGAAAGTTTACTGCAAATAGAGTTAACAATAGAAAACATAGTAATGAAACAATGCTGTCAGAGGGGCAACGCCCTCCACTTTGTTCAGTACTGGTATAACAGCACGGCTAGTGTTGAAGTTAAACAAAAACTTCACCAAAAAGGTCAGTTGAAAAGTTTAACCAGCAATGGTAACCAATGGAATAAAATTAGAAAGTGCTGGCATAGCTGAATATAGAAAACACTTTGTTACAATAGCCTAATATTGAAAACAAAGGGAAATATACGAATATTTAACGCTTAAAGTACACTATAAATGAGCCGTGTCACGACAAAACCAACATAATGCCTTTGCGACCAGCATGGATCCAGACCAGCCTGCGCATCCGCGCAGTCTGATCAGGATCCATGCTGTTGGCTATCAGTTTCTGTACTTGTAATAGAGTTTGTAAGCGAACAGCATGGATCCTGATCAGATTGCGTGGATGCGCTGTTGATTTTGTCATGACATGGCTCAAATGTACCTGTGCTCACCTTAAGTGGTTTAGTATCTTGTGTATCCATTATAAGCACCATAATATGTGTTTGTATAGCCGTCACTACATTATCAACCAGATTCTGGCCACACCAGTACTCTGTCCCTTCTATATATAAAACATCTTAAATACAATATTCTCCACTTTCTTATCAAAAAAGCTTTTATCAACATTTCAAGAAGAATACTGCATGCTTTCCCAACTATACCATCATTAATTGATACATCAACTATACCATCATTAATTGTTTGAGTAATGCAACATTTTAACACATGTATTTCAGTGTTAAGTACATGTATTTAAGAAAAAACTAGAAGGGTTTTTGTCACAAAAACATATGTCTCCTGAAACAATGTATGGTCACTCATGTGAAGTTTCATTGAAATCCCACCAGAAGCTTGACCTGTGAAAGCCAGACAAGATGTTTCTATTCATAGCTCTGATGTCCATTTTGTGCAGCAAAACAGAACATTCCGGTGACGGGCACAACTACGATGTTACTGATCACTCCTGTAAAGTTTTGTTGAAATCCAACTACATGTAGTAGTTTGACCTGTAAAGGCCAGACAAGATTTTTCTATTTTTAGCTCTGGCGGCCAATTTGTGCAGCGAAGCGGAACGAACCCGTGATGTGCACAACTAGGACTGGTACTGATCACTCCTGTAAAGACTGGTTGAAATCCCACCAGAAGTTTGACCTGTGAAGGCCTGACAAGAATTATTTATTTTTAGCTCTGGCGACCATTTTGTGCAGCATAGCAGAACGTACCTGTTATGTGCACAACTAGGGATGGTACTGATCACTCCTGTAAAGTTTGGTTGAAATCCCACAAGTAGTTTGACCTGTGAAGGCCCGACAAGATTTTTCTATTTTTAGCTCTGGTGGCCATTTTTGTGAAGCGAAGTGGAATGTGCCAGTATTGTGTACAACTAGGGATGGTACTGATACTCCTGTAAATTTTGGTTTGAAATCCCACAGTAGTTTTGACCTGTGAAGGGCCATACAAGCTTTTAATGCAATGGACGGACCAAACCCGGG